ACTCAGAGACGTGCATGTTTACAATAACTGCTGTCTCTTATACACATCTAGACTTAAAGAATAAAACAGTATATACTCTTATATGCCTAAATACATATTTCAGATACTGAGAATCCGGTGTTTACAACTTGTAGTCAGCTTCAACCAAGTATAACTGTACAGACTCTACCAGGATTGAACTACAGTTCTGCAAGTTGGAGTGTTCCTGTTGCAATTGATAACGATCTGATTACTGGTGTTGATTCTAACGCTGAGCCAGGTGATCAATTTCCGTTTGGTTCAACTGCTGTGCTTTACACCGCCTATGACGATAGTGGCAACACTGGAACCTGTTCGTTCTTAGTTATAGTTGAAGGTATGCTACTCTAGTTACTAAAAATATCCAGACTCCAACTTGAACTTTGGTCATTTCTGCCACCAATCACCATAAAAAAGTTGTAGGAGTACATGAAATATTCATATTTCAGAAAATTTCAAATTATTGTTATGCTAATGAGCCAGTTAAGCACAATGTGCACATGCTCAGAAAAAAAAAAACTTTTCTTATCTACACTGTGTATCAGCAGTGTGCGGCGTACAGCTAGGCCTAGACGAGACTTGCGGTACAGTAAAAGACAAAGCAAAATAAGGGTACTAATTTCACTTGACATGCAAATCAATCATACTTGCACACTTAAGAACAAATTAATCTACCAATATAATCACCTGCTAGTTAAAGATATAAAGCAAGTATGTTCACAAATTTGACTTGATGTGATTTTGTTCTGTAGTATTACAATGAACATCACATAGGCTAGCCAGGCCCGGGCCTAGGCCATGTCTAACCGCTTATAAAAATGCAGAAAAAAGACCCAAAACTATTTAGAATGAAGTTATCAACTAACTAGTGCATTAAAATAATTCATATACTTACTACTTACCTATGTAAAATTAAAATGTATTGCTCGCAAACGCCAATTTATTTTAATACGCCTTTTCACAAATCGGTAAACATCTTGAATTGATGACAAAAAACCTAAGTCAGTGGTGCATAACCAACAAAAATAAGATAAAGCTTTGAGGCTAAATTCTTGACCATGTTATTTAAAAATTCATAACTCCATAACAGAGGGTTGTATCACATTAATTTTTCCTGGAAAATGTTCTTAAAAGACTATTCTACATAATAGCTGCATATACACAAATTAAGATTAATAATTATATTACAGATGCAAAAATGTTTATTAAGAGAGAAGAATTTCACTGAAACTTTCTGTACTTAATCCAAGAATGAATAATGGTCTATGACCGAAAACTGTCATGCACATGGTGATTTATTTTTTAATTCCATTTATTTATAAATCTAGACAATGAAAAGCCAGAGATAAGCCAGTGTCCAAATGACACAACAATTTTGCCAGATTTTGGACAGAATTCGGCCGAGGTTGTTTGGGACGAGCCCATTGTTACAGACAACGTAGATGAAACGCCAACAGTTATTTCTAATATCAAGTCGAATACTTCACTAATAATTGGTGCTCATATCGTCAGGTACACAGCAATAGATCAGTCAGGAAACTCAGAGACGTGCATGTTTACAGTAACTGTTCTTGGTAAGATGTGTGA